TACGAAACTTGGGGTAAGATTTGGACATGAATTTCGACTAAAAAATCGGTGTTCAGATTTTAATGCCAGAATTTTCTATAAGGAAAACCATGAAGAAAAATACAAATATTGTGAAAATCGGATGATATTTGACCGAGTTATGGGGATTGTAAGATTTGACCCATGCCTATATACGAATCTTGGGGTAAGATTTGGACATGAATTTCGACTAAAAAATCGGTGTTCAGATTTTAATGCCAGAGTTTTCTATAAGGAAAACCATGAAGAAAAATACAAATATCGTGAAAATCGGATGAGAATTGACCGAGTTATGGGGGTTGTAAATTTTGACCCATGTCTATATACGAAACTTGGGGTAAGTTTTGGACATGAATTTCGACTAAAAAATCGGTGTTCAGATTTTAATGCCCGAATTTTCTATAAGGAAAACCATGAAGAAAAATACAAATCTCGTGAAAATCGGATGAGATTTGACCGAGTTATGGGGGTTGTAAATTTTGACCCATGTCTATATACGAAACTTGGGGTAAGATTTGGACATGAATTTCGACTAAAAAATCGGTGTTCAGATTTTAATGCCAGATTCATCTAGAGGTAAAACCATGAAGAAAAATACAAATCTCGTGAAAATCGGATGAGATTTGGCCGAGTTATGGGGGTTGTAAATTTTGACCCATGTCTATATACGAAACTTGGGGTAAGATTTGGACATGAATTTCGACTAAAAAATCGGTGTTCAGATTTTAATGCCAGATTCATCTAGAGGTAAAACCATGAAGAAAAATACAAATCTCGTGAAAATCGGATGAGATTTGACCGAGTTATGGGGGTTGTAAATTTTGACCCATGTCTATATACGAAACTTGGGGTAAGATTTGGACATGAATTTCGACTAAAAAATCGGTGTTCAGATTTTAATGCCAGATTCATCTAGAGGTAAAACCATGAAGAAAAATACAAATCTCGTGAAAATCGGATGAGATTTGACCGAGTTGTGGGGGTTGTAAATTTTGACCCATGTCTATATACGAAACTTGGGGTAAGTTTTGGACATGAATTTCGACTAAAAAATCGGTGTTCAGATTTTAATGCCCGAATTTTCTATAAGGAAAACCATGAAGAAAAATACAAATCTCGTGAAAATCGGATGAGATTTGACCGAGTTATGGGGGTTGTAAATTTTGACCCATGTCTATATACGAAACTTGGGGTAAGACTTGGACATGAATTTCGACTAAAAAATCGGTGTTCAGATTTTAATGCCAGATTCATCTAGAGGTAAAACCATGAAGAAAAATACAAATCTCGTGAAAATCGGATGAGATTTGACCGAGTTATGGGGGTTGTAAATTTTGACCCATGTCTATATACGAAACTTGGGGTAAGATTTGGACATGAATTTCGACTAAAAAATCGGTGTTCAGATTTTAATGCCAGATTCATCTAGAGGCAAAACCATGAAGAAAAATACAAATATCGTGAAAATCGGATGAGATTTGACCGAGTTGTGGGGGTTGTAAATTTTGACCCATGTCTATATACGAAACTTGGGGTAAGATTTGGACATGAATTTCGACTAAAAAATCGGTGTTCAGATTTTAATGCCAGAATTTTCTATAAGGAAAACCATTAAGAAAAATACAAATATCGTGAAAATCGGATGAGATTTGACCGAGTTGTGGGGGTTGTAAATTTTGACCCATGTCTATATACGAAACTTGGGGTAAGATTTGGACATGAATTTCGACTAAAAAATCGGTGTTCAGATTTTAATGCCAGAGTTTTCTATAAGGAAAACCATGAAGAAAAATACAAATATCGTGAAAATCGGATGAGAATTGACCGAGTTATGGGGGTTGTAAATTTTGACCCATGTCTATATACGAAACTTGGGGTAAGTTTTGGACATGAATTTCGACTAAAAAATCGGTGTTCAGATTTTAATGCCCGAATTTTCTATAAGGAAAACCATGAAGAAAAATACAAATATCGTGAAAATCGGATGAGAATTGACCGAGTTATGGGGGTTGTAAATTTTGACCCATGTCTATATACGAAACTTGGGGTAAGATTTGGACATGAATTTCGACTAAAAAATCGGTGTTCAGATTTTAATGCCAGATTCATCTAGAGGTAAAACCATGAAGAAAAATACAAATCTCGTGAAAATCGGATGAGATTTGACCGAGTTATGGGGGTTGTAAATTTTGACCCATGTCTATATACGAAACTTGGGGTAAGATTTGGACATGAATTTCGACTAAAAAATCGGTGTTCAGATTTTAATGCCAGAATTTTCTATAAGGAAAACCATTAAGAAAAAAACAAATCTCGTGAAAATCAGATGAGATTTGACCGAGTTATGGGGGTTGTAAATTTTGACCCATGTCTATATACGAATCTTGGGGTAAGATTTGGACATGAATTTCGACTAAAAAATCGGTGTTCAGATTTTAATGCCAGAATTTTCTATAAGGAAAACCATTAAGAAAAATACAAATCTCGTGAATATCGGATGAGATTTGACCGAGTTGTGGGGGTTGTAAATTTTGACCCATGTCTATATACGAAACTTGGGGTAAGATTTGGACATGAATTTCGACTAAAAAATCGGTGTTCAGATTTTAATGCCAGATTCATCTAGAGGCAAAACCATGAAGAAAAATACAAATATCGTGAAAATCGGATGAGATTTGACCGAGTTGTGGGGGTTGTAAATTTTGACCCATGTCTATATACGAAACTTGGGGTAAGATTTGGACATGAATTTCGACTAAAAAATCGGTGTTCAGATTTTAATGCCAGAATTTTCTATAAGGAAAACCATTAAGAAAAAAACAAATCTCGTGAAAATCAGATGAGATTTGACCGAGTTATGGGGGTTGTAAATTTTGACCCATGTCTATATACGAATCTTGGGGTAAGATTTGGACATGAATTTCGACTAAAAAATCGGTGTTCAGATTTTAATGCCAGATTCATCTAGAGGTAAAACCATGAAGAAAAATACAAATCTCGTGAAAATCGGATGAGATTTGACCGAGTTATGGGGGTTGTAAGTTATGACCCATGTCTATATACGAATCCTAGGGGTAAGATTTGGACATGAATTTCGACTAAAAAATCGGTGTTCAGATTTTAATGCCAGAATTTTCTATAAGGAAAACCATTAAGAAAAATACAAATCTCGTGAATATCGGATGAGATTTGACCGAGTTATGGGGTTGTAAATTTTGACCCATGTCTATATACGAAACTTGGGGTAAGATTTAGACATGAATTTCGACTAAAAAATCGGTGTTCAGATTTTAATGCCAGATTATTCTAGAAGGAAAACCATTAAGAAAAATACAAATCTCGTGAAAATCTGATGAGATTTGACCGAGTTATGGGGGTTGTAAATTTTGACCCATGTCTATATACGAATCTTGGGGTAAGATTTGGACATGAATTTCGACTAAAAAATCGGTGTTCAGATTTTAATGCCAGATTCATCTAGAGGTAAAACCATGAAGAAAAATACAAATCTCGTGAAAATCGAATGAGATTTGACCGAGTTATGGGGGTTGTAAGTTATGACCCATGTCTATATACGAATCCTAGGGGTAAGATTTGGACATGAATTTCGACTAAAAAATCGGTGTTCAGATTTTAATGCCAGAATTTTCTATAAGGAAAACCATTAAGAAAAATACAAATCTCGTGAATATCGGATGAGATTTGACCGAGTTATGGGGTTGTAAATTTTGACCCATGTCTATATACGAAACTTGGGGTAAGATTTAGACATGAATTTCGACTAAAAAATCGGTGTTCAGATTTTAATGCCAGATTATTCTAGAAGGAAAACCATTAAGAAAAATACAAATCTCGTGAAAATCTGATGAGATTTGACCGAGTTATGGGGGTTGTAAATTTTGACCCATTTCTATTTAGGATATTTGAGGGCTTATAAAATGTTAGAAGATTGTTTCAGTTCAGTTTTTTATAGTTAACAGAATGCTTCAGCTAAACATTTTTTCCAATTCCATTTTAATTTTTTCCCAAGACTTAAACGACTTTGATGGCTGATTGCATTTTTAATAAGCATTCATTCTCCATTTGAACTTGTTTAACTACTTATGTGTAGTCAATATTTTGGCTCACCACTTTCCGCTAGTTTTGGCGGATTCTCCGTCAAGTTGCGCAACACTGTCGGTAATTGCACACGCTGCAAGGGATGGCTTGCGTTTGGCTTATTATTATTATTATATTTATTATTGAGAACATATAATCAGGTTGAATGACGAGGGCGAGTACGTTGCGCGCCAGTGTGTTGGGATAATAAATACACAGAGAGCCAGGCAGGAGGAGGGGCTGAAGGGGGGGGGGGGGGGCAAAGAGCAGCTGTTGGTCCCGGCTTAAAATGGTTGGCATCGGTAACAGGAGCGCAGTGGCAGGACGTGTACGTGTATCCTTCATAGAGTCGGAGTTCTCGTATATGTTGTGCTTTATTAAAAAATGTGCGCTATTCAAGAAATGCTGCCCAGGTTACCTGCAGCTGGAGCAGTTGCCTGGTTGCAGTCTACACAAGTATCAAATATTATTGAAAGGAACGGGGTTTGATGGAGTGTCAGCTCCAGCTCCAGCTCCAGCTCCGTGGCTGACACCGTCGCCATCAAAGCGCTTCTCGGCAGCTGCTGTTAGTCTAACTCCGATAACCACATTTGCAAGCCAGCCAGCCGTAGTCGGAGCTGGAGGTGGAGCTGGAGCTGGAGTTTGGGTGTTCGGTTGGGTTGCGCTGGCAACGAACGTTGTTTGTCCGGGCTGTTGCCATTGCCTTCGATTCAAGTTTGTTTATAAACATTTCACGTATATCAGAGAGCGAGCCGGCCACACAAATGTCCGTGCTGTAAACTTTTATTATTAGAGTTTTATTTTTTTATATTTCAACGTGTATTTTGTCTGGCGAACAATGTCAGAAAAAACAGTATAGGACCCCGCCCCAGCAATAAAAGCAACAAGAGCAACATTTTTTGGTTTATTTCTTTGTTTCCCATTAAACTACAACAAAACAAAAAAACGTTGCAAACGTGCCGCCCCCGACATGACCTCCAAGAAGATCGCGCCCGAACGGCGCCCCTTCTGCGATCCCCGCCTGGCCGATGCCAAGTTTCGCAGGCATCGAATGTTGCACCTGAAAGACCCTGCCGTCGAGATTGTGAAGAAAGGCGGCAAACGGCCAATCAACGATTGCCCCTTTTACAATATGCAATACGGATTCGATGAGCTGCCCCTCGATCCGATCAAGGACTTTCTACAGGAGAAAATCTGTAAGTATTTTGTTGCAGACAGCAAAAAGGGGACAGGCAATTCGGTTCTCCGAATATCGGATTACACATGCAGAAAATGATATATGTGTAAATTGTCCGACAGTTGAGCTCATGAGGAGAATATCTGGAAATCATAAGAGTTTTTCATATAAAAAGTCTATGCTCGGAGCTGGTCGACTTGGGATAGATAACTGTCATGTCTTCTCTTCCATTGATATTGATCCGTCTCTTTGTTGCGACTTGCTTTAAATTCAAATTAATTTTAAATCAACTCTTTTTTATTAGCCCACTTGCAAAACGATACGATTGTTGGCCGCTGCAATCGGGAGTTTGACTTTCACAAGTACGATCTGGTAAATGTGAAGGCACAGTACAGGGAATGCGACGATGACAGTCTGCAGGAGCTGGAACTGGAGGACATTGTGATGCCCGAACAGTTTGAAATGCTGCGCGATGCCAAACATCATGAGTACAATTTTGATTCAACGGGTGAGTAAGGGCCAAAACAATACAACAAATAACAAATTGCCTAACAACATTTAATAAAATTCAATAAGCAGCTGTAATAACAGCATGCGAAAAGTTTACCACAGAAACATAACACTTAATACTTTATTAAATGTGAAAAACATGCACACAGCACAGACCACACCCACGACCACGCCCACGCCCATGCCCATTCCTAATTTTGGCTGCCTCCGCGGCAGCTCGTTGGAAAATTGCTCACCTGCATACATAAAAATTTCAAACATTATCCTTTAAACATAAAATTTTATAACCAAAAAAACCAAAAAACAAATGCGTATGACATTTATTTGAATATCCTTTGGGAATGTCCTCCCAAATGCGAGAACTGCCGCACGGCAACCATGGACCTTGTAACATGTTTATCATAGTATTTTATTTAACATTTACATGGAATATATTTTGCATCTACTCTCAACTGAGTGAAGTACGCTCTTTCAATCAATTAGTTGACATGTTGAAAACTGTGTAACTAAAATTAATTTTAATTAACTTTCTCAAATTTTAAATTAGATTGTTAGCCAAATATTTGCTGTGCCTTTGACAGTATTTTCTGTCAATGCTTTACTGGAAGTGTGTACATAAGTCGCATATGATTAATTTTATACCCAAAACCCATTGAAAAGGGCCTAATATGGGTATAATGGTTTCTTATATACCTATGCAACAGGCAGAGGGAAATATCTTCGAGCCAATAAAAGAGATATAGATATAGATCAGGATGATGATCTAACTGTGAACGTCTTTACATATAACTGTCCATCTGGCCGTCCGTCTGACTCTCCGCCTGGCTGTCCATTTGATTGAACTATTTGCTCTCGGAACTTTCAAAATCTACTTAAAATCCGAAATATTGCTTTCGTTTCTACAAACTTTGGAATGCCAAAGATCTAAAAAGAGATCGGACTCTAATTACCGAAGTTATTCAAGAGTATATATCCCATTCTGTGGAGCTTAGAATCCTATTGCTTAGGCGATATGTTAGGGAGAATGTTAGAAAGTCTTCACAGGCAGCTCGGCGCTGGGTTTATGGTATCTTCTAGTCGGGTATTCCCCACTGAAACACTCCTACTTGTATTTTTTTTTTTTTGATAATTTTAACTTGTTCGGCAAAAGGGTGACTTTGTCGTTGCTCTGTGATAAAAATGTTTCATTTTACGTATAGTTTTTTAATATTTAATATCAGCATGGATAGATGTAAATGCAAACAGAGCGCTCGGTGAGGGAGGGGGAGTGGGGGTGGTGGTGGGGGGCAGTTGGCCGGGTCGGTATGCGACTCAAACATGCAGCTGTATAATATGAGGTATAAAAGCATGTTGTCGATAAACATTAGCATAAAAATGTGACAAACATCATGATAGCAAATGGAATAGCTCCGGGGGGCATTGAAGAGCTGGGGGAGGTCATGAGCAGCGGGGAGAGGGGTAGGTAGGGACGAGGTCCATTGGCAAAATTACAGATGGACAAACAGTATTCGCCGGCAGCAGGAATGAAAATTAATTTGAGTTTAATCATTTTAAAAGCGAACTTTGGCTGCGCCATGTGACTTTTATTTAAAACAATTTTCATTTGTGTTGCCTTTGAGCGAGCGCAACAAAAAAATGCGATAAAAAAGAATAACAAGAAAATCAAATATATGAAATACACACACACACACAGAGAGACATGTTGATTGCACACATATCAAGTTATGTGCAAATATTAAATGCCATTTTCATTTTCATTTTTCCGCATTTGTTGAACTGTTTTTGCTTGCAGCTTGTAATCAATTTCCCTGGATTGACAAATGGATGGCCGGCGGTAATAAATAAATCCTTATATTTACATAGCGACAGTATTATTAAAAATTTGACACACACACGCACAGGGGTACCCAGCGAGCAGGAAATTTTTGAAATGACCAACAAGCTGCTGGACATTTACTGCCAGAGACGCGTCCGGATCTTCTACTTTGACTGCGGCACACGCTCCTCGCTCTGGTCCAACCAACTGCGCAAGCAGTACGGCACGCCCTCGGAGCTGATCGGTGCCTATAATACGCCAACGGCGCGGCATTTGCGGGTGACGACGCTGCAAAAAAAGACCAAGAAAGCCCCATTCAAGGCGGGCGATCATTATGCCCTGCGAACGCCACAAGGTGGGGGGAGGGGGGGTCTCAATTCTCCGAAATTAGTTCAATTTTAATACCCTTTGCCAAATTGCACAGAATGCCGCAATGAGCTGATGCGCGTGGGCAAGCTGATTGACAAGATGATTGATCCAGTTTTGAAGGAGGCGCAGTTCAATACAGAGCACGGCCTGCTTAAATATACAAAGGAAGACGTATGCGCTCAAGAGGACAGAGAGTACCGCCAAAAGGTAAAAATCACCTTTAAAGGGTATTTTAATTTATGAGGACATATCTCTGAGCCTATTTAATATAAATGTTCTGGATCAGTATGAACATAATAGCTTATACAGACAAGTACGTCTGCCTGTTTCTGCTTCTCAAGCACTTTTGTTAAGACATGTCACTTATTCGCCTTTTTTTGCGGACAGTTATATATATAGCTGCGACATAAGAAACGATAATCTAATGCCTGAAGAATTATTTTATTTTCATGATATTTTGACCGAATTTGGCATTTAATATGCTCCCTTAATATGATCAAAATACTATCAACTTCGATCTTTTATATTATCAAGCTGTTCGCAAAATAAGAAAAATCTTTTTGTGATTTTCAAGATATCTTGAACAGGCTCAGAAATAATGAGCTTTATGTTGATCTTCACATATTTGCAAATCCATATAAAATAGAACTACAATATTATATTAATTCTGTAGGAATAATCGATCGTAAATAAAGCCTTTGTACCGAAGCACTTTTCAGCCATATGTTATCTTCTGGCTTTAAGATTTCCCCACCAAAGTCGTCAATTATGATCTTCACTTGGCTCCCAACATAATCGGTCTCTTATACAAAATAATTCCATTACGAACAAACAGCTGAAACTTGTTTTTCTTTTTTTATAAACTGCACTCATTTTAACTATCCCTCTAGCACAAACCCATTTGCAAGGTGGTCAACAAGCGCATTCATCGCCGCAACTTTGCATCAAACGAGGAGTTTTTGCAATGCCTAAAGAAAATGGAAGCCACGTAAGTGATTACCATGCAAAGCAAATAAAGTTCATGATATAAGCAATAACTTTTTTTCCACTGCAGACGCTTTCCGTACATGTCGCCTTTGCAGCCAGTGAATCCGGAGGTTCAGAAATTGAAATTGATCTCGAAATATCAGCGCAAGCTTTCGATAGCCGAGGGCAAGTTTACATTAGAAATACAGAAACGATACAAATGCCTCGTGAAAAGCGTAAGTAATAGAAAAACAGACATACTCGAGCTTTCGAATAATGAAATAAGCAGAATTTGAATAAATGATTCATGCAAACGAAGCTGGGAGTTAGCAACATGTTTGAGCTAATCGGTTGTATACTCGTCACAACAAAAAACGATTAGCTCGAACACAACCGAACTTGTCGAGTTTGAAGCGAGCTGGAAGAACTAGATGATCGACTCAACTTTTTGCCGCAACTCGAACAGCTTGAACCGAAAAATTGGTCTTGACTCGCTCGACCTACTCATATATTCGAATATACGAAACGCTTTTCGGTTTACTCAATGCAGGGCTTAAGTAAACGTCATGCCTTCTGCATAGTCAAATTTATTGAAATATGCAACTGACCAACATATGCTTAAAAAATGACATGCCGCCAGTTGACTCTGGCGAGATCCGCAGATGCGTCTCCCCCAGGCAGCATAATAAAAAGCTCATCAAAAATGAGCACCGACAAACATAAATAACTTTTATGCTTTTGCCCGTGCTCGAGTCCATGTCCGTGTCCGAGTGCGAGTTCCGCCTCCGTTTGCGTCTACGTCTCCATCTCCGAGGTCCAAGGCCGAGACGCACATAAAAAATGATAATAATAAACTTAATACAAAGTAAATATGTGTGCGTGCGAGTAAATTAAGCTGCGTTGGCTTTTGGGCTGAGAAACGTGCTTATAAAAATTATATAATTCATAGCTCGTAAACATTATGGATGGGCGTTTGTGGCGTGGCCAAAGTTATGAATAACGTGATTAGTTGTTAAAAAAAAGAAAAATAAACAAACAAAGAAGCA